TTTACCCCATGAACTTGTACCTCGCTTTCAATTAGCCCCCTATCCTTTTTTTTTTAGAAAATTAAGGATATGAATTTTTTTTTCTGCCAATTTCCCCCCTGCCGTCTAAATCCCAACATTTCATCCAATTTGCCGTTAAATATGAGGGTAAATTGGTCATTTTCATATTAAAATAAAATAAAACAATTTAAAATTTGAAATAATAATGATAGAAATAATTTTTTTTTTAAAAAGGCCACCAGCCACCTTTCTCTCTCTCTCGACTTAACCCCCACAGATCCACCCCTTTCTAGCCCACTCTCTCACCCTCTGTTTGACAGCCACCAACATCACCACCCTCTCTTCAATCTCTTTCCCCTTCATTCTCTTCAACATCCACCAACATCACCATCCTCCTCCCTCTGTCTCTTCTCCCCCCATGTGCCCACCCCCCCTCCTCCTTCTCCCTCCCACTCTCTCTTTTCGCGTCTCTCTCTCTCTCTCTCCCACTACCAAGGTCACAGAGAGGAAAAAACCCAAAATTTAATAATAAACATCTTGATATTTTTTGGATGGTTGTTTAGGATTTTGATCTTGAATTTTTTTTCTTTGGTGGCTGTTTGGCTGTTTGGGTTTCCTAGGGAGTAAGTAAGGTGAGGTTAATAATAAAGATCTTGAAATTTTTTTGATGGCTATTTAGGGTTTTGATCTTGAATAATTTTTTTTTGGGTGGCTGTTTAAGTTTTCTGGGAGGTGAGGTTGTGGATGTCGAAGAAAGAGGGAGACAGAAGGAGGAGGGGGCGGTGCTGATGTTTGTGAAGAGAGAGAAGGGGAAGAGAGAAGAGAGAGAGGGAGACACACTTTGTAGAGAAAAGAAAAACAAAAAAGAATATCAAAACCCTAAAGTCTAAGGGAATGGGGCGACAAGAGAGAGAGAAGGAGGCAGGAGGAGGTGTGTCGGTGGTAGGGCTGGTTGGCCTTAGGAGAAGCATCGAGCAGAGGAGGGGGAGAAAAAAACCAGAGGGAGGGGGAAGAAATAAAAAAGAGAAGAGATAAGGTTTTTATTTTGAGTTATCTTTTTCTTCTTTTTTTCCAAATCTGTTTATAATGATTTAACAGAAAATTGGATGAAATGTTGAGATGTAGACGGCAGGGGGGAAATTGGTGAAAAAAAAAAGGTTCATATCCTTAATTTTCTAAAAAAAAAAGAATAGGGGGTTAATCGAAAATTAGGTACAAGTTTAAGGGGCAAATCACTAGTATACCCTTCTTTATATCTCCACCGCCGTTTATTTTCTTATCTTTGTTTCTGTCTTCTTTCTAGGGCTGCACACGGTTCGATAACCGTGGCTTGGAAGAGCTGCCGACCACTGAACCGGAGGTCATCGGCGTAGCTATTTTAGAGACCGCCACCGCACCGAGGAGATGGAAGACCGACTACAATCAGCACGCCGAGAAGTCGGTGCGGTGCGGTTTGGTTCGGAGAAGGATTGAACTAAGATTGAGGCAGAGGATTGAACTGAGATTGAGGGCTTGAAGACCACTTCGTGGGGAGGAAGAAGAAGAAGAAAAGAAGAAGAAGGAAAGAAGAAGATGCAACCAGTGGCAGGAGGAAGAAGAAAGAAGAAAAAATGGAGGAAGAACAAAAAAGAAAAAATAGAGAGAGAAAAGAAGAAAGCAACGGCTTGGAGAAAAGAAGAATAGGAAAAGGAGAGTTCGTGGGGCAGGAAACCTAACTTTTTTCTTTTAATATTTTTTTAATTATTTTAGATTGTAATATTATTACAATCATACATGTATTTCACAAAAAGACGCATCAGTCCAGTGGAATTTGGAGAAGAAAAAATGGAGGAAGAACAAAAAAGAAAAAATGGAGAGAGAAAAGAAGAAAGCGACGGCTTGGAGAAAAGAAGAATAGTAAAAGGAGAGTTCGTGGGGCAGGAAACCTAACTTTTTTCTTTTAATATTTTTTTAATTCTTTTAGATTGTAATATTATTACAATCATACATGCATTTCACAAAAAGACGCATCAGTCCAGTGAAATTTGGGCTTTGTGTCTGCCATGATAAGGTTTATATAACATTTCCAACAAAAACAAAAAAACAAAAAAGTTTAATATGCCAGCAGCCCAGTTACTTTTATCCCAGCCCATTTCGCAGCAGCCCAAATGCCAAATCCCAACCCTAACCTAATCCCCTATTTCTTTATATCTCCACCGCCGTTTATTTTCTCATCTTTGTTTCTGTCTTCTTTCTTCTTACGTACCCCACCATCTCTTTTCCTGTGTCTCCAAAACCCACCCAAATCACCTCTCTTTTTCTCTCCGTTTTTCTATCTCCCTCCCAAGTTCTCTGGCTCTCACTCTCTCTCTCTAGTTCTCTATCTTTGGCTCTCTCTCCCTCCCTATCTTTCTCTATTTTCCCCTTCAAAGTCGCAGATCTTCATCCCCTTCAATTGGGTTCAATTGTGTTTAATGTGGAGGTTCTATTTGGTTCGACAGTGTTGGTTCAATTGGTTTTGACGTGGTGGTTCAATTGGGTGGTGGGTGTGGTGCTCGCCTGAAAACACAGATCCTGAAAATATAGAAAACGACTTTTGGGTGTTTTCAGTCATGAAGGCATAAATTTGGAGTAGTGTTTTTTTTTTTCCGGTATGAAACTGGAATTCCATTAAAACGCCACAGCAAAAGCTAGAGCGGATTCAGATTACAAGTGTATTCCGAAAAGTTCCGATTTTTCCGATATATCCGAAATTTTGGAATCGGAATAAGATTTGAAATTCCGAAATTTTTCGGATTGGAATTGGAAGGTATATTGAATTCCGAAAATTTTCGGATTGGAATTCGGAACACTAGTTTCCGATCCGTTCCGGCCGTATTACAGGCCTAGTCTTTCTGTATCTAATTATTGCTGAATTGTGCCCTAAATTGTTTCCTTTGATGCAAGCATTTTACCAGAGCATGGAGAAAAGGAGATGGTTGGTATTTGTAGTATTTACATGGATGTTTGTTTTTTCTGCTGGAAGAGGTAAAATTTGAACTTATGCATCAAAATTTTATTAGAAATGTTTAATTTGATGGTGGTCTTGGGTTAGACTAATTTCTTGTTGTGAACGTAGAAATTGTAATTGGGTTTGAAGGAATTTTGGTTGGTTGGAGAAAAATTAGTTGAGGAGACACAGTGGGCAAAGCTTAACAGTCTTTACTGGTGGATGTATATATGTGTATAATATATGTTATGTAATTGCTTAATTATGTATGATAGCATTTGCAATATGGGTGGTATTGTTGGTTCTACATTGTTACAATGTACTTAAAAAGTTGGTGTGGTTTTAGTCTGTCCTAGGCTCGAGAGGTAGTAGCATTCACTTAGGAGAAGAGAGGGAAGCGCATGCGTTGAGAATTATACAAATATGAATTAGTTGTGTTATGATTCTTACCGATGAAATGGGTTGAATATGGTTTAGGGTAGATCCCGGATAGACTTTGCTGTTGTTGAGCTTATGGAACACATTTTTAACAGGGAATTTTTCCTTCTTCTAAATGCAGAACTGAAAATTAAGCACCAGGATCATGGCCCCGTCTATAATCATACGCTTGCCACTATATTAGTGCGGTATGCTTCCACGGTAAGTTTCATGAGATATTGGCTTGTGTGACCATTTACGAGGATTTGGTTGGTAAAGATTTATGTTACGGAAATATGTAGCCTCACCATTTCCCTTGCAAATCTGTACGATATATTTTGTGATTCCTAGTTTGCTGTAATTGTGACATAGAGAAAGGTTGATTTTGGGGAGTATTTAAATCTGTCTAATTAAATAGGAAACAAAACTGTGGAGATTTTCTGGATTATATGTCAATATTTTAACTATTAGTAGTAGCGTCGCCTATAAGTTTTGTAACAATTGAAATCAAACTTCTACACTTGTAGGTGTATTTATCAGATTTGACAGAGCTGTTTACTTGGACATGCTCAAGATGTGACGGTTTGATTAAGGTACTCAGATTTATGGCATCAATTCAAAAAATTTACGCCTAAAAACCGCTGACCTTATTCCTCCTTTAATGTGAACAGGATTTTGAAATGATTGAGCTGGTTGTTGACATCCAGCATTGCTTACAGGTGCAATTTCATAGTTCAGCCTGGTTTTATGTGTTAAAATTATTTTCTTAAGCCTCTGTCTTACATTGTCATTACTCATTACTTTCTCCAGGCTTTTGTTGGAGTCGCACAAGATCCCAATGCTATCATAATTGCATTTAGAGGGACTCAGGAACACAGGTAGAGTCCTAGAGTGCTTATATCATTCGAGATTAAAATTTTTGCTGAATTATTTTTATGAGCCCAAATTACCCAGTGACCAATAGAAGGGGTTTGCTCATGAATTGTGCTGGTCAGTTGTGCAGTCCAACTATATTGTCTGTGACATAAGAAAACATAGGTGACAAGAAAATTTAATAATAAAGATGTTAATACAATTGAGAAATTAACATCTAGATTCCTTGCTTTACCTCAAAATTTATGCGTCACCATAGGCAATCTGATTTGTTCTTTTATCAGAGTTGTTAGTTGACTAATGATTGACTTTATGTGTACAGCATACAGAATTGGGTCGAAGATTTATTTTGGAAACAGCTTGATTTAGATTACCCTGGCATGCCTGATGCAATGGTATTTATTACAGTAAAGTTTCTCTACTCTGTTGCTTCTGGAATATAAAATTTCAAGTCTCTATTCTTTTTCTATTGCTTTAGGTGCACCATGGGTTTTTTAACGCTTACCACAACACAACCATACGCCCTGGAATTTTAAATGCTATTGCAAGAGCTAAGGACTTCTACGGAGATATTCGCATCATAGTTACAGGTCATTCAATGGGCGGGGCAATGGCTTCATTTTGTGCTCTTGATCTAAGGGTAATCATAGATTCATAATTAAGCGAGTCTCCATTTTGCATGTTTCATCTATAGCAATATTTGTTTGAATTTTTCTTTTCCTAGTGCCTTCCATCATTTTTTGTATTTTTTTTATTTCAATGTAATCTCTAGGTTCTGGGTAACTACCGAATGAGGATCATTTTTTGTTATTTTTCTTGGATAAATTTTGAGTCAGGGTAATGTACTGGTTGTCTTTTTTCTTCAACAGTAGTTTGTGGTCATCGTCATGATTGCTTAAACAATAAATGCATGCATGGTTTTGAATATAGTTACATTTGATGGTTCACTTAGTCAGCAGTTACCTTTACTTCTGTTAGCGAGTTATAATGTTTTAGCCTTAGGCAGGTAATTTGAAGTCATGTGAGAGGATTGTTATCACTTGTATGCAATAGCTTTAGTAGCAAGCAACTAAGTAGTATTAGGTATCGTATCCTGTCAGAGCTTGACTCATATGTTATGTCAACGTAGCTATTACCAATGGAGCTTCAATTAATCTTTTCCCCTTTCACTTCAACTGATCAAGATATGTTAGTGTGTCAGTGTAAAAGAGTGTGAACTTATTCCACAAGGGTCTTTTGAATTTGTTTAATACAAATTTATAAATAAACCCAATCCTAGACATGTATTTATAAAAAAAACCCAAATACTATTTAAACATAGAAACAAACCCAAAATCAACCCCAAAATCAACAATTGTATATTTTTTGGGTGTGTTTATAAATGGGTTTTGAGTGTGTGTAATGATGGGTTTTGGGTGTGTTTATAAAGTGTTTTGGGTGTTGGGTTTTTTTATAATTTCAGCCCCCATTTTGGGTGTTTTAGTGAAACTCCCTTTGTTTAATTGCATTCACTGCTTGCTGGAGTTTTTCTTGGCCCTGCAGCACTCATGTTACTTCTGTGAATGTTAATTGTATTCTATTCTGGAAGCTTATTCTTCAAACCAGTAACATTGAAATGTTTCTTTTTTCCTTTTTGTAATCCAGGTCAATCAGAAAGAGAGAAATGTTCAAGTGATGACATTTGGACAACCTCGTATTGGTAATGCAGCTTTTGCATCTTACTTTAGCGAACTTGTGCCAAATACTATACGAGTTACAAATGAACATGATATGGTTCCTCATTTGCCTCCATACTATACTTATTTTCCTCAGAAGACATACCACCACTTCCCAAGAGAGGTATTTTTTCTAACCCACAGAGGTGGATTACTTATGTGTTCAATTTGAATCCTTTAATATCAATTAGAGAATAAACGGAGCAAGTACTTTATTCTAGCATATTCTTGGTGGCCCATTATTTGTGAATAGTTTGAGTAATGAGAATAATGCCAGATGAATAAGAGTCTTGGATATACACTTGCACACTGCTTTTGTAACCAAATCCATCTTTATCTGCACCTTTGAGACAATTTTGGAATCATAAACATACCATACTTTGGAAGTTTCATTCTCTTCTGACCATTGAGAGCCCTATTCTTATTCTAGGTGTGGCTTTATAACATTGGAATTGAAAGTCTTGTTTATAACATTGAGAAGATCTGTGATGATTCTGGCGAGGACCCAACCTGCAGCAGGTAATCTCTCTTGTGTTGTGATGTCATCAAAAGTTTTCTCCTTGGTTTCTTTTCTTCCACCGTCTTCTATTGGTAGAAGAACAATATAATACTGAAGTTGAAAAGAACAATCTTACCTGAAAAGATGATACAAGTTCTTGGGAAATTTGTGCAGGTCGGTGAGTGGGAACAGCATTTCAGACCATCTAGTTTATTTTGGTGTTGAATTAATGGCCAAGACATGGAGACGGTGTAGAATTGTGATGGGTCCTGGAGTAGTGGAATACAGCAGAACAGATGTTGGAGGAAATTTTGTACTGTCCAGAGATCTTGCAACTCCTGTTCTAAAGTTGAATGCCATGTCAGAAGCTGGGGCAAAACCTCTGTAGAATGCCAGCCAATGATTCTCTTGGACGAAATCTGAGAGAGGTCAGTTTAGGTTTATGTCCCGAAAAAGCTGTTTCGTTGTAGGCCTTTTGTTTTCAGAAGCCATAGCTGAAAAATATCGGTGGGATGGGGCCAAGGCTGCGAATGACTTGTGTATATATTAATATGTTCATCTTCATTCTTTTGGATATGAATGCTGACATTTGTGTTACTTGTGTAAATATAATGGCCGTTCTCTATGCAGAAAATGCAAGTTTTCTAACTTGTATAGCTTAAATCCAAATTGCATCCAACAAGATCGAGGGTCTACTTTGCCCATTTTCTGAGTAAAATAACTCGTAACCGAGCTGAATAACTTGAATTTGATCAACCTGGCAATTTCTTACCTCAGACTTTGTTTTGTGCTCTAGTCCCATGCATCTAATTTCTTGATAAAAAGGTTATATTTCTTCTTACTTTACTTAGAACCTGACACTTAATTAAACCCCTTTTTCTTTTCTAAAGTCTTCTCAATTATCTGCAATGCATTAGGTTTAGTCTTGCTACGTTTACTGCTATGTAATATGTTACTTAAAAACAAAACACAAGTATGAATGAAATGTTTCGATTAATTAGTCTCACTACATATGCACGGGATGTCGGGATGTCGATATATCATCGACGCGAAGATCGCAGCAAAATCTATTGCAAAAGGAAAAATTTCACGTCTCAATTTAAGTTAATTTGGTTTTACAACTTGTAATAAGCTAGTTAGGCAACCCTTGTTTATTCTACTAATTAATAATACACCTTCCAACAATGGAATACGTAAATGCAATTACATTATACGGCACTAACCACTTGTTTAGATTTATTTTTCCCACGATCTTGATCTATATTATATTTCACAATATTCTTACAAGAATATTAAGCGGTTGAAATCGATGGATTAAGTTTGGCATATAACAACTTAATTTCACAAATTTTTAATGTCATCATTGCCAAGTACACGGTATGACTAGATATTCTCTGTCCAAGTTACATGTTTAGATGCATAGCAAGAGTTCAGCACAGGAGCAAAACCAATAAAAACTAGGTGATGATCAATTACAAAAGAAGGTAAATGTAGGAGAAAAAGCTTTTCAGATTTAATTTTCCTTTCACACCCAAGCTTGTCTTCAAATCCTTGGCTAGCGAATCACCCACATGTTCCTTCACTCTGTTTTCAGATTCAGATCATTCTTCTCTTCTTCATCAAGGATAGAAACTTCGGGTTGAACCACTTTGGCTTCAGCAATGGCTGTTGTGACTGCCACTTCTGCTTCCTTCACCAAATTCTCCTCCGGTTTTACGGGCTCTTCTGTACACACACATAACCAAATTAGGTTAGCAAACAATACATTTGACTGACGACTTGTCAGACATATATTTATGTTGCCAGATTATGAATCTGCACGTTGCTTATATTTATGCAACGTGATATGAAATCTGCACGTTGCTTATATTTATGCAACGTGATATGTATAGTTTTATAAATAAACTATATATATGTATTAAATTAACATGATTGAGGTCACAAACCATTTTGTTGTGTCTCTGGGGCTTTTGTTTCTTCCTCATCCAAACCCAATTCTTTGTTGTCTTCTAGAATATCATCGTCTACCTTGAAGTACAAGCTACCCTTGCTGCCGGCTCCATGGCGAGGAGTGTAATAGTCAGACGTTCCAGACCGGCCCTCAGAAATAATCCCATCAATTCCTTCCTCATCCAATTTCCTTGACGAAAAGAAACGGTTCGGGGAGCCGTGGGTGATCAGCCTCTCCGCAGCCTCACCGTGCTCTTCTTTGTTACTTTTGTCCAAGGATTCTTTATCACCATCGTCTTCATAATCTCCATCTTCGTTATTTACAATGATGTCCTTCGCATTCTCCTCAGCCACCACTGGCTCGCCGCCGCCAACATTGTTATTTACATTAATGTCCTTATGATCCTTGTCGAGTACTTGTTCGCTGCTCTTACAATCTGCTGGTTGTTGCACCATTGAGCTGCCGTTGTCGACGTCTTCGAGGACGGTTTCGATGTCTTTGCTCTTCTTGGAAGAGCCATCAACGTTGGATTTCTTGCGGCGGAGGATGGTGTTGCTGGTGGCAAGCGCCAGTTTTGATTCCCCACAACCCATTTTTCAATTGTGTGTTTGTGTTGTGAGGTCTCAAGGAAGAGAGAGAGAGAGAGAGAGAGAGAGAGAGAGGAGACAGAGGCTGAGAGATTAATGTGTTTAGCTCCCTTTAATATGAGAGAGAGAGATTAGAGATGGGGGCAATGAAAGCTGTTGTGTTTTGATTTGGTTATTTGTTTGTGTTGGAGCTGTGGTTTGCATGGGTGTAATTTGGTTGTCATGCAGGTATAGCTTATATATAGAACCGTTTTTTTCGTTGTGTTTTCAAGGTGGAGATGGGTTTATTGGCAACTCATTGTCAACATCAATGTGCCTTGCCTTGGTGTATTTTTAGATAGGTAAAAGGCCTTAGTAATTAGGAAACATTTTTTCTGGCGATGTTCATTCATTCGTTCAATTGTTCGATTGTTCACGTTTTGAAATAAAACACATTTGAAAAACTACACACTCCTGAATCAAATCTTAAATTACTTTTTAGGGAAATATTTAGAACCCAACTTTTGCAAAATTCAGGCAATACCAACTCAATACTCAATGAGACAAAGTTTAGAAATCTATTTTTGGAAGAAAAAATTGGACTCTACAATATCTTTGTGGGGAATGAATTTGTATGCCATCGGAAAGGACTTTTGCAACCTGAAACTAGGAAAAGAGAGATGATAGTAAGTCCTTGAACACACTAGTGTGGTGTGAGCCAAAGAGCCTCCAATGCCTAAGTCAGTTCGACCATATAAAGATAAAAATAGGGTTTCTTAGTTCAAGTAACAATTACCTTCTCCAAGAGGCCGATATTGGTTTATATTTAGCTCTTTGATAACTGGTTTATTGTCGTGGAACGTGTGAGATATTTACCCAGAGTAGGTGAACATGATCTCCCTTAATTAGTGTTGTAACAGTCATTAGGGAAGTCTTCCAGATTTGGGCTAATCTTCTATAGGCGTGAAATATAAGGACAAGTCATGTTGGGCTTATCCCTTAAGGCCTTATCTGTCCTAACCCAAGGCTAGATAGGCGTTTGGGCCCATGCTGAGCTGGCTCGCTCATGGGCATTTGTCTAGCGCAGGGCCTCATTACCCTGGCAGAGGAAGCGACCTCTGCGAGCTCTTTGGCAATAATTGGAATTGCTAGCACATAGTTGAGAGAGAGAGAGAGAGAGAGAGAGAGAGAGAGATGAAATATCTGAAATGGCAGATGTGAATGAAGAAGACCAATAAAATTCAGAAGTGCCCAAACGCTTGAAGGATCTCAGATTTTGAGGCTCCAATAACATCCATTCGCACAAACCCCTAGAAAATGAATAAAGAAAATTAAATATAGCTGCAATAGTGTACAAAAAAGAAACACTTCCAACTTCCCATAAACCTAAAGATGCATGTCTGAAGTCATGTCAATTCCACCTCAGTACTTACCATATTTGAATTATTGTTCTAATAATGTTGTAGATGTAAGGTTGCTGGAGTGATGGTTTGGTGCCACAAGATCCCACTAGAGTCTTATGAATTGGATAAGAAAAAAGTATTGGAGCTAGAAATTCAGAAGGTAGCGTGAGAGACAACCGAATATGGGAAAACAACTGGATAAAGATGAAGTCATTTGATGCGTCCAAATCGAAGCCAGTGAGTGAGTGAGGGCTCTTAACTGCCTTTTTCTGTTATCAAATTTCAGTCGTCCTTCAATTTTGGGTCAATATGTAAAATTCATCGATCAGTTCTGAACATTTTATCAGTTAAAAACTTTGGTCCGGTTTGGTTCATAGAAAATGAGACTTGGGGATGAGAAATTAATTGCTTTCCTATATTTGGTAAGTCGAGTATGAGAAATGGTTGTATGGCATATGGGAAAGTAAGGAGGAAAGTGAAACCCTCCTTCTAATTTGAGTTTTGTTTTTCCTTCTCATGAGAAAGTTTGGGAAGATGAGCCAACATTAAATGCACATTTTTCATGACGATTTTGTCCCATTAATAATTTAGAATTACAATATATTATTAAATTTATTTTTTATTTGATTTAATATGGGTATAATTGAAAAATTATACAAACTTTGTTTTCCATTCCCACTCTAAACAAACATGGGAAATGAAATAAAGTGATATCTTATGGTTTCTTTCCCGGTATTACCAAACATGAACAAGGAATCTTTCATTTTCCATATCTTGGGAAATAACATGAGAAGTGATTTCACCTCAAATTCGTTTCGTGAACCAAACGGAATGAAAGAAAAAGAGAGAAAAGAAGAGAAAAGAAAGCTGCCCGGATTTGGTTTCATGGGTCCATTCCCCTTCCCCATGAAAAAGGAAAAAGGGTTTGATATAATTAGGCCTTGCAAGTGTTTGTTAAAATGCGCAAAAGATTGCTTGGTTTGGTCAGCCTGCGCCCATTCTATGAAATTTGATTGGCTGAGACCACGGCGCCTATCCTTTTCGCCATCAAAGTCACCAGCCTCTGCCCACTCACCTTATCCTCTCTCTCTTTCTCTTTCTCTTTCTGACTCTGTCCACGTGGGTATGCGCAACCATGGAAAATGAGAAAAACAATAAAAATATTAGATCTTTTTGCAAAGTCTAATATTTAATAGCTTCGAGCCTTTAAATAATGAGAAAAATGTACTATTTTAATGAGGGAAGTAATGGAAACGTAACCCATTTACGTGATGGCTGTCTCTTTCTAATTGAGGGATTGAGACAAACGGAGCCAAACCAACAACCAACCCATCCTTGCCGTATCGGGAAACTTCCCTTCATTCTTTTAGCCTTCTCTGCAAATCTCCTCTCCAACTCTCATGGAAGGCTCAGGGAATGAACGTTTCGATTTTGGAAAGATGGGTTACGGGTACGCACCCGCCTTATCCTTCTTCTTCTTTTTGCTTTCCATTTTCATTTCCTTCAAATTTTTGCTCTTGTTCGTGTTTTTGTGACTGATTGTTTCATTTCTCTTATGGGTTTTGCTTTTTCTTCGTGCAGATGCAAGCATTATAGAAGAAGATGCCAGATTCGAGCTCCGTGCTGCAACGAGATCTATCCATGTCGTCATTGTCACAACGAAGCCACGGTATTTGTTACATTAGCTAAAACAGCATTTCAATTCATAAATTCATAACATTGGTGGTTGGCCTATGCACCTGTTTCTCATCTGGGTACATTTGATTTGTTCAGAGCATGTTGAGCAACCCTTTTGATCGGCATGAGCTCGTCCGCTACGATGTTAAACAAGTACGTGAATATATATGCCATACTCTGTCCTTTTTATTTCTGTGTTACTTCTCTGAGTTTTCTCAATGTGTTTATTGTGGTGCTGTTTCAGGTTGTTTGTTCAGTTTGTGACACAGAGCAGCCGGTATGTGTCTTCCTATGTTGGTTTCAATCCAAATTAAACAAAAGAGCAAAGAAAAACACGGTCTTGGTTCTGATTTTCTTCGATAACTGTATTGGTTTTAGGTTGCACGAGTCTGTACAAACTGCGGCGTCAGCATGGGGGAATATTTCTGTGAAATTTGCAAATTCTACGATGATGATGTAAGCTTACTATTTGCTCAAATTGAATTACCGTACCCAGAAATTTAAAGAAGAAATATTTAGTGAAAAGTTTGTTTCCTTTGTTTTTGTTGATTTATCAGTCTTTCTCTAGAAATGAACTAGATTCAGATTTGGTAGTTGGTGTGTGATCTTATATGGTATTGGTGGTTCCTCCTTTTTTGAAGTTGCCTTTTCATTTATACCTTGCAGACTGATAAAGGGCAATTTCATTGTAATGATTGTGGGATCTGCAGGTTAGTACAATTTCAGTATTTTTTTTCCTGTTTTTATATGGCTGATTTTTGTCATAAAAATTCATGATATTGAGGAGTTTCTTAATCTAAACTGTTATATGGAGAACAGAATCGGCGGTCGTGAGAATTTCTATCACTGCAAGAAGTGTGGTATGTACTTACAACCATTATGGAAATATTGTTGCTGAAATTGGAAACTTGCCTTCTTAATGAACTTCTTGCAAGCAATTAGTTATTCTTTGAAATAAAGAAATCTATACTATTTTGTTTCACATTTTGATTTACTCAGATCTGTCTTTTGGACAATAGCATTCATTTTCTAGTGCTAATTTTAGTTTTGGAAAACCAGTTGGGTTTTGGGCTACCAATCATTGATTAAATTGTGGGATAAATTAAAATTTTAGCCCTGCATTCTCTACACTCTGTACCACATTGGATCTTTATTTGCTATGGGAAATTTCATTCTCTATGACGTTGAGTTCTTTGTGCTTACAAATCAGCTTATTCATCTTGGTTTTCTGAAAAATCTTTTCCAGTTAACCTTTCTTGTCTGTGGGACTTCTTCCTCTGACTTTGGGGATGGGTGGGGAAAAGTTTGTTAAACTTTGAAGAAGTTACTTCCTAACAATGGTATTTTGTTGGAGTGTTTCTTATAAAGATGCTTTATATATTTTCAGGGTCTTGCTATTCAGTTGGCCTACGTGATAATCACTTGTGTGTGGAGAACTCCATGCGGCACCACTGCCCCATTTGTTATGAGGTTTGTCTTGAAATTTCCTTTGCAGTTATACTAGTAGGAAACTTTTGTCACGTCCTAACTAACAGGTAAAACTATCATGTTGTGTTCTGCAGTTCCTTTTCGACTCGCTGAAAGACACTACTGTAATGAAATGTGGTCACACAATGCACTGTGAATGTTACAATGAAATGATGAAGCGTGACAAGTAAGTGGAATCACTTTAATTTCATTAGTTTACAAGTCAAAAGACGATTATTTTGCTTGCTAACTCAAATTGGTTAAATTTTTCAGATACTGTTGTCCAATATGCTCCAAGTCAGTGATTGACATGTCCAGAACCTGGAAGAGAATAGATGAGGAGGTATACTTTTACAAAGATTTCAGTCATTTTTCTTTACAAATTTTTCTTGTCTTGGTTGAATGATACCAGTTACTTGGTAGCAATGAAGATTTCATACTAATTTGTTGACATTTTCAAACTGCCAGATAGAAGCAACAACGATGCCTGAGGATTACCGGTTCAAGAAGGTACTTACTTTTCATCCTTGTTCAGGCCTACCTATAAAACAAGGCTAGTCTAGCTCTAATACCAGGGCGTGCCTTTTCTCTTTGGTGTAAAATGCAATGTCCCACTAATCCTGAACTCTTTATATGTACAAGTCTAAGAAGCAATGATAATTTGCAGGTATGGATCCTGTGCAATGATTGCAACGACACTACCGAAGTTTACTTCCACATTATTGGGCAGAAATGCAACCACTGCAAATCATACAACACCCGCACGATTGCCCCTCCAGTTCTTCCTCAATGACCATGGTTCACAATATATCCAGTCTGGTAGGCGCAGTGAAAAGCTTGTACCGTTAATGAACAACGTAAATGGGGATTCGGTTTTTATCCTCTCAATTGATTCTGTACCATTGCATTATGATTCAAATGATTGTAATGCTGTATGTGTCCGTCGAACTTTTTCCAGGCTATTGTTGTTCTATCAATTTATGTGGAACCCAGGTGATGAGTCTTGGGTTGATGTAAACATTATATATACTGCAATTCAAGGGAATGGTTTTAGGGACCAATGAAAGATTTGCCAGGTGATAATAAGGATCATCTGTCATTATATATACTTTGAACCATTGATCAGATTATTTTTGTTTGATAATTTGTTTCAGTGCATGTTGTGCAACACTAGAGAGAGGCCAATGGGTGGATGGAGGAAATGCAACCCCTTTAGGATGTTGGCTTGCAAGTGTCAGGCTGATATGAGTCATTTTCTCCTTCAAATTGCATTACACAGTGCAAGAAATTATGAGAAAAAGACTCTCTGCCACAACTAACTTCAAGGCGATCAAGATGGGGATTGGGATGAGCGGTACTCATCAAATCCCCATATGGGATGGGGGCTTGAAGCCCCATCTCTGAGATCGAAAGCCCCACATCATCATCATCATGAATAACTTTAACAAATAATTAATTAACAAAGGCACTTTAATAATCATAAGTCTCTGCAAAATACGTGTATTAATTAAAATAGAAATTCTCATGTGCTATTATGTTTAAGGATACAAGCTAAGTATCTAATATCTGTGTCTTCATTATAAAGTAGATGTTTCATTGTCGTACTACTTAAAGTTAATCTAATCTATATAAAGAGGGGATTCGAAGTTAGGTGCAATGGGAGCTCACTGTCTCGGACCAACTGATGCTTTAAGTGCACTAAGATATATTCTCAATTTTACTTGCAAAATGCAAATCTCAAACTATGCATACACTTGAGAGTAGTATAATTACTAATATATCACATGCCGATATAGGTAAAAATGAAAGTAAAGAAATAAACTCAAATATACTTTTGAAAAGTAATTCCACTAATTTGCACCAACTTCAAGTAGTCGCCCTATAATTTTTGAAGCCCTTGGAAAAATGTAACTAAGAAAATCTATTTGCATTTAAACCCTTTAAATTTTATTTCTTTTTTATCACCATATATAGAGAGTAAAGTTTGAAATTTCGTAATTTCTTCTTGTTGTTGGGTGTGATGATCAAACTTCATGGGTGTATATAGCAAGTAGCAAAAACTTAGAAGTGAAGTTCCATTAACGGTCTTGAAAAGAAAAAGAAAAAAAGTTCCACAGTAACAACCATGGACCGCCGTTATACAAATACATGCTCCTCTCTCTTCCGGTCTTCCCTCTAAACCCTGATCGTTCAGTGCCTGGGCTTTAGCTTTCTCCAAAACTCGCCGAGTTCACTCGGAGCCCCAATATCAGACTGGACTCGGTCCTTCAAAGCCATGCAAGTGGTCTCCAATACTCGCAGGCTCTCTAGAGCTCTCAAATCTCCCATTTTTATCAAATCCGATCAATTTCTCTCTCCAGATGTCCGAGTTGTCGAAGCTCCCCTCACTTCTTTCCAATGGCGGAACCTCAGCACCGTCTCTTCGCAAAACTCCTTGTTCTTTGGTAGGCTCAGCATTCGCTCATCTAATTCTCATTGCGAACCTTTCTCTTTTCTGTATTTAGTTGAAATTTTTTTGTAACTAATATTCTGTTTGGTTGCCGAGAAGTATCTGGCAAACCAAACCTGAACTCAAAGGAGTAAAGTATTACTTTTGAGATTTTTTTTTTTCCTGTGTTGATGCAGTTTCTATAGTTTATATGTTGTTTGGTTGTTGAGAAACCTGAGGAAATGAAAGGAATAAAAGGGTAAAAGATAATGATTATTGAGTCTTATGTTTCTAGTGACAAAGTTAGAGTCTTTCGTTTTTATGTTCTCAGGTATTCTTAACTTTTTATTTATTTATATTTATAACATGTGTTTATAGGCTCGTTAACCATAATTGAGTGAGTTATCTGTGAGTATTTTATCATGAACCAAACAAACAAGCAAAGTCTATATCTTGAAATCAATAATTTTGTAACATGAGGATATTGAATTATATAGGCATTACTCGCGGTTCTCTTCTGCCAATGGAACAACACACAACGTGCACAATGATGACATTGAGAGCGCACTTTTCTTCTGAAGCGAGTACCGTCGAAGGTGGTTCCACAGGTTGTAGCTTTGCTTTGGTGTAAATTTCTTCAAATTGATGTTTAAGTTGTTTTAGTAATATCTTCTTTCTTGGTTGGGTGCAGAGGTTGTGAAGGAGCTGTATGATAAAATGCTGCAATCTGTGAATATAAAACGATCAATGCCCCCCAATGCTTGGTTATGGTCATTGATTGAGAATTGCAAAAAGCATGAAGATATTAAGCTTCTATTTGACATCTTGCAGAATCTACGCAGATTTGTTAGTTCCTAATCTCTCAGCATTATGGTTGGCTCACCATTTTCAATTTGCATACTCTAAGTGAAGTTTAAGTTGTTTCTGTTGACAGTTGTATGCTTTGCTATTGATTGCAGAGATTGTCAAATCTTCGCATCCATTCTGATTTTAATTGCAATCTCTGCCGAGAGGTTACTAAGGCATGTGCTCGTGTGGGGGCCCTTGACTTTGGTATGCCATATGAATCTTATTTTTAGGGCTCAAATTTGGTCTCTTTTTGTGAGTGAAATTCTAAATCTACAGTTTAGAGAAACCCATGCTGGGTGTTCAGAGTTCTGCACTTGCTGGATCTTATCAATTGATATATCTGACATTGCAGGAAAGAAGGCCTTGTGGAAACATAATGTGTATGGATTGGCTCCTACCATCGGATCTGCTCACCATTTACTGGTACTAATGAAATTGGATGTTGACCATTTAGGTTTCTCTTGTACTTGAGATTTAGATGCAATAAAATCTTGCTGTAAATTGGCCGCAGATACATGCTAAAGAACGCAGTGATGCTAAACTTATGATGGAAATAATGAGTCTTTTAAAGAAGAATGACTTACCCTTGCAACCTGGTACAGCAGATATCGTTTTCAGGTATCTAGGTTATAAACTATGACTGCTGTGATAGTGCTTTTACTTCTTAACTTTCAAAGTTTCATTGTGGAAAAGAACTCAAAATGCTGTACAGATTTCACAAGTGGTCTCTGTAGTGTTTCATTGCAAAGAAACAAGATAATCATTAGCTAAGGTTACTGCTTTCTGTAGGGTTTCACTTTTAAATTTTTTTAATGTTCTTAACATGATCTTGAATCTGTTTTGGTTGACTATTTGCAGCATCTGTTACAATACTGATAATTGGCAGCTGATGTCTAAGTACTCAAAAAGGTTTGTCAAAGCTGGAGTAAAGCTACGGCAAACTGCATTTGATCTATGGATGGAATTAGCTGCTAAAATAGGTTTCTACAAATTCTCTGTTCTCTTATATTATGTTTTGAGACCAAATTATTATTATTTTTTTCTATCGTCATCCCCAGTAGGTTATGCTTAGCTTCAAATGAATATTATTCTTTATGATGGCATCCGGTATATTGTTTAAAGCATTTCAAGTTTCTCATTTGCAGGAGATGTTGAATCATTGTGGAAAATTGAGAAGTTAAGATCTGAGTCGATGAAGCAGCACACTGTTGCGAGTGGATTTTCATGTGCTAAGGTATCGAACCTTACATCCCTGTATTCTCCCCCCAAACTTTCCATACGTATTTGTTAAAACCAGACGGACTGGTAGCTGGGTCCAGTAAGCAATGGTCTGGAGATGGATGATTCTATTGCCAGATATGTAAGAGAACCGCTCAAACCTGGTTATAGGTGGTTAAGTGACAGTTCCTCTATATATCTGGTTAAATGGCTTCTATGAAGCTAGAACCAACTAGCTCTTTGTCTAGTGGTATTTCTTTTGCCAATATCGAATGAGGTTCCAAGTTTGAATCCCCCTTTTTGTTTATAAGAAAAAGAAAAAGAAAAAGAAAAAAAACTTATAAGTTTTTTGCCTCAGCATCTCCAGTTAGAGCTTTGTTTGGTATAGCTATTAGTTTCAATCAATTCACCCCATGTATTTTTTGACTTTTATTTACTACTTTTTTTGCAGGGTTTTCTCTTAGAACATAAGCCCGAGGAAGCTGCTTCCATCATCCAAGTTCTAAATCAGGTTTGGTTCCTTTTACACTTTATATTTTGATAGGGGAAAAAAGTCCTACAATAGCTAATTTGAAATCTGAGTCTTTTGTAGAAACGTAAGCTCTTTAAACAGTACCACAGAATCTCTCCGTTGAATGAATGGAGCAACTATGATTCATTTCATTTGTTTATTATATCAGGATAAATGACCATATTTGAACTTTTAATACTTCTGTCCACCCATTAGTAAATTTAATGTTTGAAATACAAAGAGAGAATAGTTCCTACTCTGGTTTTGCATGAGGTGTGAGTTCCATTGTTGAACACAACTCCAGATTTTGGTTTCAGATTGGCTCCACCTTACCTTTAAGGACAAGATTATGGTCAAACTTATTTACATGTTATGATTTTATTTCATATTTTCCTATTTGCTGATGCCATTGAGATTTATGTATGCCAGACTTTACCTGATGCGAAGAAGTCCAGCATCGTGGTTGAGCTTCAAAAGTTGGTTAGTGAGTGGCCCTTGGAGGTTATTAGGCACCAGAAGGAAGAGGACAGAAAGGTATACCATTTATGCAACTGTTTTTCTTGTTCAATAGTCTGTTTGAGAACTCAAGCTTACACATTGTTCCTGTGTCCAGGCATTAGCCGTATCTTTAACATCCGATATTCCTGCAATGGTTAGTGGTTTATTAACCACGGGCTTACAAGTGAATGTAAACATTGAGGACCTAACCAGCAAAGAAGGTGTTCTTTATTGAACTCCTGGGGGATGAATGAAAATCTGAAGCTCCATGTGCCGTTCGTATCCTGTAAAAGAGAGAACCATGTGCCGTTCGTATCCTGTAAAAGAGAGAACCATGTCTTTTTTTTTTTTGGTCAACCGAGAGAACCATGTGTTTTGGCCATGGTTGATGAGCACTCCAATAATTGCTCTCCTTACAAAGGCAATGCAAGTTTTGTTGTTATGTCAGTGATTTGATTCAATTAACTTTACTAGTGCGTTTGTATCATTTCACATATCTTCAAGCTGAAACTTCTGACGCGGAGGGATATTTTCAGAATGTGACATTTGATAGGTTAATTTTATACTCTAGCTAGATCTTTCAGAGCAAGAGGACCTACTAAACCCTATTGCATAGTTTCAACTCACAATTTCTGGATTTGGGCAACGTGAAGCTTTTCTTTTAATAACAACTAATGGATGGCCGTATATATCTTTTGATTTCTCGACAGTGATTCACATCCTCGAAGGTTTTCTTCAGTTTCCTATGGCTAATTTTACAAATATAAACCGTAATTCTTTCTAATGTTCACTCAGCTTTTTTATGATAGTAAAAGGTTTCACACCCTTGATGCTTCTCTTGAGCTATATAGTAATTCTATGATTTACATAAACAACTGATGCACCAAAGTGTTGTAAAATGGACAACCAATGCACGAAAATGCTTTGGATTGTACTCCTATAAAAGTACCAATCGGCTCATAGGTGCATAGTTTCTGCATGCAGTGGGATATGGCTGTTGTTGCCTCTCTCTTTCCCAGCATTTTCTTCTTCCTATACACCACCTTCATTCTTCAATCCACAAGTGCTATCAGCAGCACTGCAGGTGATGGCTTTGCCCCATTTGCCTGATCCACCGCGACTCACCTCTTTCCCCATTATACAACCACTCCATGACCAACCTTGAGCGTATATGAGCAGCTGCTTATCGTTCTTTCTTGCGCCTCAACCACATCCACTCCCTCACCGCCTCCTCTCCATCCTCACGCCAGGAACATGATATTTCTTCTAGATTAGTCCCAGAAAATGGTGAGTACATAGTGACTTTCTCTGTAGGCAAGTTCAGTCCTTTATGGACACTGGAAGTGACGTCATTTGGATCAAATGCTTACAAAGTTCCAATGTCTTTAACCCTGCAGAATCTTCCTCTTACAGCTACTATTCGTGCGATTCCCCTTCTTGTAATGATCTAGGTGCAAGCGGCAACACTTGCGGAGGCAGAGATTTTTGTGAACCTTGCTACTATGTAGGAGAATATGTAGATGGTTCCACAACAAGGGGAACTCTTTCTCATGACAAGTTTGCATTTGAAGGCTCTAAGAGGGAGCTTGTAGATGTTGGACACTTGGATTTTGGCTGTTCCAAGTACTCTTCATGGGAATTTGTGGGGAACCAAACAAACAAGTGCTCTGGGCTTGAACAGGGCTGCTTTGTCCTTAAATTCTTAACGAAGTTCTCATACTGCATGGTGCTGCCAGACAATGAGGAATCAGGAAGCAGGATATATTTTGGATCAGAAATACAAAGTTCTCATACTGCGTGGTGCTGCCAAACTCCATTTGATCAAAGAGGAAAAGGCCTACTACTATGTCACTCTGAATGGAATTAGCATTGGTGATCAAGATGTTCCTCTCCCTGATGGGATTTTTAGAGTGACAAGTGATGGGGAAGGAGGGTTTGTTATTGATTCAGGCACAACTTATACGATGCTTCGATCAGAAGCATATGACGTATTCGTCACGGCAATGCACAAAGCCATACGCTTGCCGCAAAGGAGAGATCTGATCGAATGGTTTGAGCAGTGTTTCGAGGGAAGTTTTGAGGACCTGGACTCTGCAGGACCAGATGTTACATTTCTCTTTTATGGTGTACAAGTCATGCTAACGAAGCAAACTACTTACATTGAAGTAGAGCATGGACTTAGCCTTGCCATTATCAGGTCCAGTGAAAAGTTGTCCACAGTTGGAAATATTCAGCTGCGGAACTATTTTGTTGGTTATGACCTTGAACAAGGAGTGGTTTCGTTTGCTCCGGTTGACTGTGCTACCTTCTGATCACGACTTGGCACGGGGGTTAGCTAGGTTAGCTGTATAGCCATGGCCAGGTGCTTGGACATGCTTTTGTGTCATGTTAGTCTTTCCCCATCTTTTGATTCCAAGACAGGCATTCACACCCTTGAAGCTTTTCTTCAGCTTCCTGCGTTTTTCCAATATGAACCCTTAACCATAAAATACCTAACCCAGCAACAATTCTGTCTAATGTCCAAATATTATTCACTCAGCTACTTTTGATGCAAGAGTAAAGGTATCACATCCTTGATGCCTTTCTTGACCTACTTTTTTTATAATAAAAAAACTCATTCACACTTTATATTAGTTCACAAACTTATATGGTATACATTAATAACTAAATCTACTCCTAATGCTGCCTTATTAATAGACAACTATTGCACCAAAATGCATAGATTACCTTCCTAAAAAAGCATTAGTTGGCTAGGTACTTAAATTCTGATGCAGTATTCACATATATTAGATAATGGGCATATCGCCGCCCTCTCTCTTTTCCACCATTTTCTTCTTCTTAAACACCATCTTTATTCTTCAATCCATAAACTCTATCAACAGCAGTACTGCTGGTGATGGCTTTTCGGTTAGTCTGATCCACCGTGACTCACCTCTATCCCCATCATACAATCGTTCCATGACCGCCTATGATCGTATACAAGCTGCTGCTTATCGTTCTGTCTTGCGCCTTAACCACATCCACTCACTCACCACCACCTTTTCATCCTCAGAACATGATATCTCTTGTAGAATAGTCCCTGAAAATGGTGAGTACATAGTGACTTTCTCTGTGGGCACTCCCCCTACCCAAGTACATGCCTTCATGGACACTGGAAGTGACGCCATTTGGGTCAAATGCTCACAAAGCTCCCCTGTCTTCAACCCTGCAAAATCCTCCTCTTACGGTTACTACTTGTGTGATTCCCTTCCCTGTGAGGATCTGGGGGTAGGTAGGAGAACCTGTGCAGAGTTGCTTGACCCTTGCTACTACAGGGTAATATACGGAGATGGTTCTACAACAGAGGGAACTCTGTCCCGTGACAAGTTTGCATTTGAAGACCCTGAGAGGAACCTTGTCGATGTTGGTCACTTGGATTTTGGTTGTTCTGACTTCTCTTCATGGCATTTTCGTGGGAACCAATCAGGGGCTCTCGGCCTGAGCAGGCAACCCCTGTCCTTAGTTTCTCAACTAGGCATAAAAAAGTTCTCGTACTGCATGGTGCTCCCGGACAATGAGGGATCAGGAAGCAGGATGTATTTTGGCTCAGAGGCAGTGATCTCTGGTGGGCAAACTCCACTTCTGAAGGGAGTGGATTGGTATTACTATGTCACTCTTATCGGAATTAGCATTGGTGACCAAAATGTTCCTCTCCCTGATGGGATTTTTAAAATGACAAGTGATGGGGAAGGAGGGTTTATTATTGATTCAGGCACAACTTACACATTCCTTAGATCAGAAGCATATGATGCATTGATCGAGGCACTGGGGGAAGCCATAGATTTGCCTCAAAGGAGAGGACCAAGCGAATGGTATGAGTTGTGTTTTGAGGGAAGTTTTGAGGACTTGGATTCTGCAGCACCAGATTTGAAATTCATTTTTGATGGTGCAGAAGTCATTCTAATGAAACAAACTACTTACATTGAAGCAGAGAAGGGGCTTTGGTGCCTTGCCATGCTGAGGTCCAATGAAGCGTTGTCCATACTCGGAAATATACAACAACAGAACTATTTTGTTGGTTATGACCTTGAACAAGAAGTGGTTTCTTTTGCTCCAGTTGACTGTGCTACCTTCTAGTAGGTAGTGGCCTAACCAACTTCAATAATATTTCTGATCCTTCCAGACTTTTAATCAGAAAAACATACTAGCAAGTCTTTTTATCAACCTTTTTGTTTGGCTGAACAAAATAGTCTGCTCTATTCCTCTTATTTATAAGATATAGTATCATTAAACAAAAGTACCATTTATACTTCTGTAGACAACACACTTCTTCCACCATAGGAATGAGGTATAGTGTGTTAACTTCTTTGAATCATGCCCAATCAGTTTGTCTATTAAACTTAGACAATGGGATCTCCAATCAACTAGGTTAGGTTTCCGCTCGGCCGATTCATTCAATATGTTGACTTTAACCTCAGTCCCCTCGATGCTCAACTCACTCTCTAGGCCAACCTTTTAAATTTTGGATCCACTAGGTTGACTATAAACTGTTCCATTTTATGAAATTATATTCATTCGAGAGAAGTTGTTTTCAAAAAGTCCTCCATACGTTTTGTTGGGACTTACTAAGTAATTTGCCAACTTTTTAGTAGACTTCCCCCACATTTAAGGTATTTGTAGTCTTTAACCTTTCTGTACCTTAAAATAAAAGTTACTCGTCTCTTTTAAAAAGCAAATTACTTTTTCATTCTTACACGAAAGGGATCTCCAATCAACTAGGTTAGGTTTCCGCTCGGCCGATTCATTCAATATGTTGACTTTAACCTCATTCCCCTCAATGCTCAACTCACTCTCTAGGCCAACCTTTTAAATTTTGGATCCACTAGGTTGACTATAAACTGTTCCATTTTATTAAATTATATTCATTCGAGAGAAGTTGTTTTCAAAAAGTCCTCCATACGTTTTGTTGGGACTTACTAAGTAGTTTGCCAACTTTTTAGTAGACTTCCCCCACATTTAAGGTATTTGTAGTCTTTAACCTTTCTGTACCTTAAAATAAAAGTTACTGGTCTCTTTTAAAAAGCAAATTACTTTTCCATTCTTACACGAATATGAGATTACGAAGATAGTTAAGCCAACCCCCACAATTCTCTTACAATTGTGGTTGCTATTAAACTACCAATGAATTTACATACCTTAAGAACTTTGTAAATTACATCTAGTGCAATTGCGGCACATATCTGTTAATGGTCTTAGGGTTTCCTAATGTTGTGTTGTGCTTTGTGGGCTTTTGCCTTTTGTGGGCTTTTTGCCGTTATGTGGGCTCTTGGCCTCTCTGTGGGCTTTATGCCTTTATGTGTGCTCTATGCATTTTGTTAGTTTTATTTGTAGTGGGCTCTATGTCTGTTTGTATTGCATTTTGTGTGAACTCAATTATTTGAGTTCAATTTGATGTAATCGGGCTTTGACCTTCTATTTAATGAAACTCAATTTCGACCAAAAAAACACATCTAGGGCAATTTTGCAATGGAGCCCCACAATTTCGATTTCTCAATATTTCCATTTAATGGAAATTGTGATGGATTCCTTCATACAATCCATTGTAGTTTAAAGCTTCACAATTAGAAACTTAATTCTTTAAAAAATAGGCCTTAGCCCCCACATTTCAGTTGTAGTCTTACCAAGACAGAAATGGACCACGTTCCGGTCATCTCAACACATTTTGCAATGGAGCCCCACAATTTCGATTTCTCAATATTTCCATTTAATGGAAATTGTGATGGATTCCTTCATACAATCCATTGTAGTTTAAAGCTTCACAATTAGAAACTTAATTCTTTAAAAAATAGGCCTTAGCCCCCACATTTCAGTTGTAGTCTTACCAAGACAGAAATGTACCACGTTCCGGTCATCTCAACACTTACTTGGAAGTATTTTTCAATTGTGCTTTTCAAATTTAGACAACACACTGACTTGCTTTCCCTTCTTCAGAAAAATTTGCAAAACCAAATTTATGCAATCTTTCTATATGCCAATTGCATATCTGCATATTAACCCAAAGGTTCATATATACAATTATGTAAACATAAACATCTCTCTTCTACTGGGGCTGCACCATTAATGTAAGTTAACAACCCGTTCAAATCGAAAGCAACTCGCTACTTTCTTAACACCACATCCATGATCTGTGTACAAATATGTAATATGATTTCTCTGTGTACAAAGAATTGTTCGCCAATTTTGAAAATGCAGCCCACAAGCATGCATACACACAGGTTCATGCGCCCATTCGCATACTTCTCTAAACAAGAACAAAGGTTTTCATGCCGTTTCCTTCTTGTTTGCAGATTGCAATGGAAATAAAACATACATGCAGACATGATTTCTTCATTTCAAAAATAACATACATGCAGACAAATATCTATAAACAAACTTTCAAAATGATCTTTAACTGATCGCGTGCCGTGCATAGAAAATTCTTTGAGAAAATCTGAAATTGTCGAAGTGATCTTATGCCGATCAAGTGTTGTACATGCATGTGCATTTAGAATTTCTAACATGAAATCCGAAATACTCAAGGCAGAATGATGTCAAACAACAATATGGATAACAGTCCCACGATACTTACAATTTAAATATATGGGAAACGAGTCTCAATTATTCAAACAGACCCCAACGATTAACAAAATAGTTAACTTGTTCAACGAGATGGGACCCCTTCGTTTGGTTGGGTGACTTTGGTTGAAAGGTCATGCTCAATTTCAATCGCAGCAATACTTAATGAGATACTTTCAAAACGAACTAGTTCATATTCCAAATTGTTCCATATTTTTCTGTCTTTAGATTTTCTTAAAACAGAATTCTGTCTTTAGACTGTTGGTCGAACGATAGGTAATATGAATTTAAAGATAATTAAAATTCTCAATAGAATTGTAATAATCAAATACAATAACAAATTTACATGGAATTAATGTAAATCAACAAACACAAATAGAAATATTGACAACTTTAGCGATTGAGGCTTACAAGAATTTCAATGTCCTAAAGACATATTTCGCCCCTGCCCTTGTGCTCGTGGTTCTATAGGCATCCATCTCCCAATGTTCAACAATCGATAATCCTAAATTAAAACACTTCAATTTAAGACTCTGACGAACCAATTATATATTTGTACTCTCAAGACTAGACTCAGCATTGATTACAAGAGTAAAACTAGAGCACTGGGGAATTCTCTAGTTTTCCATGGGTAAGAACTAGTTGGATAGCCTTACAACATGGGTTTTATATAATTAACCTAAGTGACCTTTGGAATAATAACAATGGTTGTTCACTAAATGACGCCACTTATGCAAAGGAAAGATGCAACTGAACTTAATTCAATTGTATCAGATGCAACCCTTGATACCTAAACAAAATAATTATTTTCATTCACACATTAAAAATTAAAAATTATAATATCTAATCAATATTATAATATTATTTTTCCAACACCTTTGATTTCACCCTTAGGAAAACAGAAGCCACAAGATCGAAGACCTATTTGTCCTATATATACAGTTATTCTCTTATCCGGATGTCCGCATGTTATTATTGTGCGGATCCTATTGTAAACAAGCAGGAAAACATAGAGGTGTAGTACGAAATACACGGCGTCCGCACGATAATAACGTCCGGATGTCCGCATAAGAGAATTTCTGTATATATATATATATATATACATATATACACATATATAAAGACCCGCCCAGCGCCTATGTGCCACGTGTCAAAAGAGTAAAGCCATGAGGCTATACTATTTAAAAAAAAAAAAATTTAAAAAGAGTATAGCCGCACGGGAATACTACTTTTTAAAGAAAATTAGGGAAAAACTGCGCATAGCCGTGCGGCTATACCATTTAAAAAAAATGTATATTATTTTAATTCAATAATATGTGAGAATTATGTGTATAATACGTGAATTTTGTGTGCCTTATTGAAATTTTTGTAAAAAAAATATGTGTATTAAACATGAGAAATATGTGAGTACATGTATAATACATTATTAAACGCGAAAGTGCTAAAATCTTTCTATGGGTAATAACTCTGAAAAAGTAAAAAATCAAAAGGGGGAAATAGAGACTCGAGTAATGGCCTAAAAAAAAGTAAAGAAACTAATTTACATTTTTAAAATTAAAAAAAAAAATCCCCGATGAAAGTTTGTCGGCACAGGTCTATGCCAGCGAAATTTACCGAATTAAAATTCTTTTCAAAACGTGTAGCCAGGCGGCTATACTATTTATATATAATAAAAAACGACGGGCCCAGCCCAAGGTGCCACGTGTCAAAACAGTAACGCCAGGCGGCTATACTATTTTTTAAAAAATTAAGAAAAATGAGTATAGCCGGTCGGCTATACTATTTCTTTAAAAAAAATTCAAAAAAAATCTAGTATCGCCGGGCGGTGCCTATGCGCCTATGCGCCTATGCTCCCGTCTTTTTTTAAAAAAATAAAAAATAAAAAACGATTATAGCCGCACGGCTATACCACTTTTTAAAGAAAATTAGGGAAAAACTGAGTATAGCCGGCCGGCTATACCATTTTTGAAAACTATATATTATTTTTAGGGATATGATTTCTCCACTCCCCTTTTCTCTACTTACACACCCTTTTGCTTTTTAATACTTTTTAATCAATTTT